AAGTCAAGTGCCTTTTGTAATCACCAAATATGTTGTGTACATATTTAAGAAGTCTATTTTTGACATATAAACTAAATGCCACAGTATCACTAAAATAACCAAACTTGGAGAAGAGCTGAGAAAATGGATCTCTTACTATGGGTGAGGAATATCGTATATACAGTCACATACCTTCTGTATTGGTTAGTTTTGCTGAACTGCTTTTTTCTCTTTTTTTAAAATCTGAGTGCCAAGAGGTATAGAGTAGTGAGAAAAGAGAAATATATTTGGAAATGAAGGTAATATAAAAACAAATCAATAAAAATACAATAAAAATATTTATTTTTGACATAAAAGAAATACAGTCAAGCAAGTATCCATTTATATAATCAGATCAGGCTAGGAGTAATTCACAATTACAATGAGTATTTTTTCAACCTTGAAAAGTGGAAGAATTCATGTGCAATATCACTCAGAACAAACTTTCTCTTTTTCTTTAATATCTAATTTACTCCTCTGGTTTCCACAATCATCATACAGTCTAAGGACAATATACTATACACAATATTAGTAGATAAGAAAAAGAAGTTAAAAGTGCTGAACACTTTCTTACAAAGATAGCTAGCTTTCCTGAACACATTCATCTGAATAAAGGAAACCACTTGAAAAAGGCCAACTGCTCTACAATGTATCCAAATAGTTACAGCTGAAGATTTCCAGCTCTTCTTCACTCATTCAGTGCAGCACAAGAAGATGTGGGAAATAAAAGCAATATTGGTTCCTTTTGTCACATAGACAGTCAATTTCATCACCTACGTTTTGACTTCCCTTGGGGAAATAAAGCCAGCCACTTCTATGTCCTCTACTCTAGCCAAAACACTTGTAAGCAGACCAATAAAAGTACTAGTTTCTTCATGACCTCTTGCCATTCTCTTTAAAAACATCTGTGAGATGACTCCCACGTGTGTTAAGAGATTTGCTCACATCTATAGGTACGGCTTCTCAGGTAAAAACTGACATCAAGCTGAACCTCTAAATCAGATTGGGAATAAGGCCAAATTAAAAAAAATTATGATTTCTGATATACTAGGTCCATTCAACAAAATTTTAAATAAAAAAAGACCTGGGAATTAAAGCTTTGCACTCATATCTCTTCCACTTACTTGGGTCCTCCCCCACAACAACAAAAAATTACTTTGAATTTACTTTGCCTATATTTGTGTTGACTTATCTTTGTTCATATTATCTACACCTACACTTAGCAGAATCAAAGTCTCTCAAGGGAAGGGTCTATCTCATTTTTGTCACTGTATCTCTAAAACCCAGTACAATACCTTGCACAATGTAGGCATTTAATAAGTCCTCGATAAATGAAGCAAAATTCAAGTTCTTCTGACCAGCAATCAAACAATCTGGCATCAATCTACCACTCTAGTTTTATATCACAAAACTCCAACAAAACTGATTTATTTTTTTCTCCCAATATGCCATGTGTCTTTCTGCCTCCTGTACTTTGCCTACACTATTTCCTAGGGCTGTAATTCTCTCCCTATCCTTCTTAACTGTTAAATTTCTACCCACCGTTAAAAGCCCAATTCAAATACCCACCACAGAAAGGATGCTACAAAATAGCTTTTTTAAAAGAGCAAGCATAAAAACAAATGTTATTTTAAAAATCTGGGTATTGTACAAAAGATTTAGTTGTCAAGTTTAAAAGAGAAAGTCAGGGCATGTCATAGAGTATAACACTTTTTCCTCCACAAGCACTCTGAAACTGCTATGTAAAAATAAATATTTTTACTCATTATCTCAAAATGAAAATCCCCTTATTTCTCTTGCTTCCTATTACACAAAATCCTATACTACTCAACAGGGCTCATACCTTCAAAATAGTTCATTCTGATGAATATCTCCCTATAACCCTTCAAATATCTTTTTAACATTTCTCTTTATTTTTTTGCTGCAACTATGCTAATTCAAGAGAGGATCATATGATCATAAAATCATAGATTTAGGTCATCTAGTCCAAGACCCACACTTTGTGGATGAGGAAACTGAGGGCTAGTAAGATTAAGTGACACCCAAGGTCCCACTAGCAGACAGTAGCAGATCCAGAATTTGAACTCCAGGTCCTTTGACTCCAAATTCAGTATGATTTCTCCTGAAACACACTGCATCTGGTTGGTCTCTCTGCCTCCAGTCTCTTCCCGCTCCAATCCATCCTCCACTCACATTATCATCCTAAAACATAGGTCTGACCATATCACTGCCCTATTTAATAAACTCCAGTGGCTCCCTGTTATCTCCAGGATCAAATATATAATCTTCTTAGATTTTAAAGCCCATCATAACCTGGATTTTAAAGCCCGTCAAAGCCCCTTCCTACCTTTTGAATCCTCTTCCACTTTATCTTCTTCCATTTAGTCTATCATCCAATAGGACCAGACTCCTTAATATTCCTCTCACAAGATACTCCATCTCCCACACATTTGCACTGGCTATCTCTCATGCCTAGAATGTTCTCCTTCCTGGCTTCCCTGGGTTCTTTCAAGTCTTGGCTAAACTCCAACCTTCGGCATGAAGCCTTTCTCCCCGGCCCTGGAGTCAGGAGGACCTGAGTTCAAATCCGACCTCAGACACATAACACTCACTTGCTGTGTGACTGTGGACAAGTCGCTTAACCCCAATGCCTCACCCAGAAAAAAAAAAGCCTTTTGCCACCCCTACTCTCCTCCTCCCCACCTTATTGCTAGTGCCTCCCTCTGAGATTACCTCCAGTTTATCTTACATATCATTTTTACACATGGTTATTTTTATGCCCCTCCTCCCCCTCTTAGATTGTGAGCTCCTTGGGGGCAGGGATTGGTTTTGCCTATCTTTGTATCCCTAGCACTTAGCACTGTACCTGGCACAAAGCAGGTGATTAATAAATGCTTGATTACTAGCTGGCATGACTTGCTTTACCTCTCACCTTAAAACTAGATTATCACTCAATCTAAGTATCATATTCACTCCAATCCATCCTGCATACTACTACACGCTACTTTCAACTACCCTGTTTTTCAATAGCATCTTGTTACTTCTAAGATAAAATCCCTAGTTTTAAATTCATGGCTTTCCATAAAACCTACTTTTCCAACCTTATTTCCTACTTTCAACACATACTTTCTACACCATCCAATAAGTCTATTCATTTTTACACAAACTCACAATATAATATCCAATCTTTTGATCACATCATCCCAAGACTAACTTTTAAAGACTACCTATCCTTCAAGGTCCAATTCAAGACCTATCTCCTCTTGCAACCTTTTCCTCATCAAACCACAGTGATTTCTTGATCGACTAACCTCCAAAAGCAGTTTATGATCTGTGCCATGCATCCAGTAGTTAACTGTATAATGTTCATTTGAATCTTGTCTCCCCAAATAAACTGTAAGCAAGACACACTTCTTTGTATATCACAGAGCATTTCTAGTACAGTTAACATACCTTAATTGGTACTCACTAAATAGCTACTCCTACTGCAACCAGGCAGTAACTGCTACCTCAAAAATCCTTCTTTATTCATAGCCCTTTCCTCTCCTCAAAATAGCAAAAGGTCCTCAGAAAAGTATAAAGATGTTCAAAAGTCTAGGAAAATGCCATGGGTTGTCTTGAAACCTAATATTCACTAATCTTAACGCATTCAACATTTTTCAATACATAAATGAAAACACTTTTCTACTAAGTCAGTGTCATGCAACCCAGCAGGCACTGTCAATAACTGTTAATTGGCAATTCAATAACAAATGAACATAGTATTTGGATTAAAACCTAAGTTTAAATCACTCTGTCAACTTTCAAACACTATATCCATGAAAGCAAATACCTTAATACTTAGTCACTTCCTCTTTTTGGGCCTCAGTTTCCTTCTCTGCAAAAGTAGTTGGATATAATAATCACTGAAATATTCTAGCTCTAAATCAATAATCTAAGGTTCTTCTATTTGATTTTTAAAAATCTAAACGTGGTGTAATAAATAACTAACATTTATGTAGCGACTTAGAGTTTGGAAAATGTTTTGCCCAGGCCTCTCTTCCATCTAGAACCCCTAGAGTCTTGCAAAAGCACTGCCCCAGTCCAGTGCCTTCCTTGCAAAATCTTTTCTGATACACACCATTACTAGATATCATCTCTGACCGTCCCCCCCAAACTGTGGGTATAAATATTATTTTACTGCAATAGAGAGTAAGTTCCTTGAAGGAAAAGGCTATTTAATTTAGCACTTAGCACAGGGTAGTAAGCACTCAAATGCTTCCTGAATGAATGAATGAATGAATGCATACATTTATTCACTTGAGCATCAATCACAACAGCCCAAACAGGAAGGAATTAACAGAATTACTATCCCTGCTTTAGACATGAAAGATAAAATGACTTGTCTATGTCACAGAGCTAACTAGTGTCAGTGGCTGGATTTGAAACCAGGTCTTGCTTCCAAGGCCAGTGCTCTCCTGCTAAGCCACACTGCCCTCTAGTGAAGTGGAAAGGGCACTGGACTTGGAGGCAGAGAACTGAGATACCAATTCTGCTATTTATTCGATGTAAGTCACTGTTCCTCCCTCAGTTTCTTCCTCTGCAAAAAAGGGAAAATGAACTAGATGATCACTAAGGCAGCCTCTAGTTCTAAATCCATGTTCTTAGTTCCTTCCAGTTGATTTAAAAAAAAATGAACCTAGATGCGGGAATCAGAGTATATAGCACCACAGTGCTATACAGAGAAAAGGGCACTAGATTTGGACCCAGCTCCAATCCACACGCTATTTATTAGTTGTGTGACCCTAGAGCAAGGCACTGCTCTTTCTCTGGGCCTTCGTTTCCTTCTCTGTAAAAGGAGGGGTGCCTTGAGTCCCCGGGGCTCTGACAATCCATGATCCCCTCTGAAACCCGGCAAACACCGCCGAAGCTAGACCCTGCTCCGCGGGGGACGCTGGACGCCACACCCCTGGACACCCGAACCCCGGAACCCGGTGGCTTACTTTGGTCTCTCAGAAAGTCGAGCTCTGTGGCCATTTCGGTGCAGTTTTAGCTGCCTCTCTCTCCCCCCTTCCAATCACAACGCAACTTGAGACTGCCCAGAAAAAAAAGGAAAAAGGAAAAAGAGAAAAGGAAGGAAAAGAAAAAGAAAAAGAGAGAGCGAGCGAGATGACACAGCGGTGAGGCTCGGGGAGCAACGAGCTACGGCTTCGGCCTCCCTCTCGTTCTCTGAGCTTCGGCTCCTGCCCGGCCAGGCCCACACGTCCCTCCCGACAAGGCTGGGCAGGCCTAACCTAGGCGGGCGAAGGGACAACGCCCGAGTCCCAGGCTCTGGGAGGACTAAAGGTGCGGGGCACCGATGGGCCCCCAGCAGAGAAGGATCAGGCCGTAGCCAGAGCCCCCGCCCGCCTGCCCCGCGCCACTTCAAACCCGGCGACGGGCTTCGCTCCTTGGAGACGGCGACGCCGCACTGCGTCATCACGCCACGCCGGCGTGGCGCGCCTGCGAGGCCGCTGTCCCTCCCTAGCGCCCGCATCGGGCAGGCTGGGGAAGGGGGCGAGGCAGAAAGCAAGACTCTCATTGGGCCTTAGCCAGAAGAGATGAGCGGGGGAGGGAGGAGTGTCTGGGAGCTCCGCAGGTCGGAATTCTACCTTCCTAGGAATGGAAGGCTGCTCAATTGAATTATTTTAAAAATACATTTTTGTTGATATGATGCATTTACATCTCCTTAATTTCCCCTCGGATCTCTCCCCTTCTTCCAAATATCCATCCCGTATAAGGAAGATTATTTTTAAAGGAAAAAATAAATCGGCAAAACCGATCAAAATATCGAAAAAAAAATCTAAAAATATATCCCATATTCCACATTACTGGATCTTCCACCTCTGCAAAGGAGTTGGGGGAGGTGTCTTATATAATTTCTTTGGAACGCTGCCTCCAACACAAGTTGTTGTTTCTCTATTACATTAGGAGACAGTCAATAAACAAGCATTTATTAAGCTCCTACTATGTGCCAGGCACTGTGTTAAGTGCCGTGAATACGAAGAGAGGGAAAAAATTACCGTCCCTGCCATAAGAAGCCTGTATTCTAATAGGGGAGACAACATGCAATCACCTTATATTATTATATAATTTAAATGGAAAGTAATCTGAACGAGGGAAAAGGCCTGCTGCAAAAGGTGGGATTTGGGTCTGGGAATCCAGGAGGTAGAAGTGAGGGGAAGAGAACGTTAAAGGCATGAGGGACAGACACTGAAAAGGTGTATTCAATCCTGAAAGTAAGAAGGAGTCATTGGAAGTCATTGAATTGGGGAGGGGGGACACCCTGAGGAGGGGTGTCACATGATCAGACCAGCACTTTAAGCTGAGTGCAGAATGAATTGAATTGGAGAGAGACATGAATCAGAAGGCTTTTGCAGTAGTTCTGGAGTGAGGTGATGAGGGCCTGAATAGGGGGGCAGCTGTGAGAGTTAAGAGAAGAGGACATATGCTAGAGCTGTTGTAACAAGACTTGGCAACAGAAAGCATATCTGCCAGAGAGAATAACTCTTTGAGGTAGCTAAGGGGTGAATTGGAGTCAGGAAGAACTCAGTTCAAATTTTGCCTCAGACTCTTAGTAGCTATGGAGACCTTGGCCACTTAACCTCTCTCAGCCTCAGTTTTCTCATCCTTAAAATGGAGATAACAATAGCACCTACTTCTCAAGGTTGTTGAGGAGCAAATGTACAGGTCTTTGAAAACCTTAAATAAGGGGCAGCTAGGTGGCACAGTGGATAGAGTGCTGGCTCTGAAGTCAAGAGGACCTGAGTTCAAATTTGACCTCAGACCAAACACTTAACTGGTACTAGCTGGTGACCTTGGGCAAGTCACTTAACCCCAATTGACTCACAAAAAATGATAATAATAATAAAATTTAAAAAATGAAAACCTTAAGTAGCTATACAAATTCTGATGATGATGATGACAAGGACAATGGAGCTGCAAGCCTAGGTGACTGTTAGGATGGTGACCCTGTCAACCCCCTAGGTACATGCCCTCATCTCATACCCAGACTATTACAATAGCCTGCTGGTTGTCTACCTGCCACAAGCATCTCCCCACTCTAGTCCATCATCCATTCAGTCCCCAAAGTGATTTTCCTGAAATGTACATCCAACCATGTCAATCTCCACTCCCCACCCCCACTCAGTAAGTTGTAGTGGTTCCTTATCACCTCCAGGATAAAATACAAAATCCTCTGTCCAAAGCCCTTCCTAACCTATCCTCCCTACCTTTCCAGTCTTCTTATATCTTACACTTCCCCCCAGTAACCCCTTCTCCACACACAAACACATACACATACTCTATCATCCAGTGACACTGTCCTCCTTGATGTTTCACAAACAAAACATCCATCTCCCAGCCTTCACTGGCTATTCCTCATGCCTTGAATGCTCGCCTATGTCATCTCTGACTCCTGGCTTCCAAGGCTTCCTTAAAATTCCAGTTAAAATCCTACCTTCTACAGGAAGCCTTTCCCAATTCCTCTTAATTCTACTGCCTCCTCATTGTTGATTACAGTTAACTCTTCTACCTCATGACTTTCCCCATCATGGTTTTGATATATCCAGGGTCAGCACAAGAAATTAAATAGGAATTTTGCAGAAGCCACAGATGACACACAAAGGCCAGCAGATGACACAGAGCTTATGACCAAATACTTAACCCAAACTTTACAATAAGGTACTATAAATACCCCATAAATTTTTTTGAAAATCATACTTCTGTGTTATGAAGTGAGGGCCAAAAAAATTTTAAGCAGATTTTCCAGATCATGGGAGCCCCGAAATGTGGAAGGAATAACTGTATTTCCTATTTATCTGCTATGTAGCTTGTTTGTACCTAGTTGTTGGCATGTTTTCTCCCATTAGATTGTGAGCTCCTTGGGAACATTGACCGTCTTTTGCCTTTCTTTGTATCTTCAGTACTGGATAAATGCTTAGTGACTGACTGGTGCCCCCAGTAGCAAATAGTGAAGTTGGGAAGAATGGAGAATTTGAGGGAAAAGATAAGGATATCTGTTTTGGACATGTTTAGTCTACTGGGCAGCCAAGTCAAGATGTATAATAGGGAACTGGTGATATGAGACTGGAACTCAGGAGAGAAACTATGACTGTGAATATATAGGAGCTGATGAGATCACCAAGTGAGAGAGTATGCAGGGAGAAGACCCAGAATGGAGCCTTGGGAGACACCACTTAGTGAGCATCCTTTGGCTAAAGATCCAGCAACAGACTGAGAAAGAGCAGACATGAGAAGAACCAAGAAAGAGCACTCAAGTTCTTAGATTACTAAGGAGATGTCATTAGGGTCATTTTGGCTGCTGATTAACGTCGTAATTTGTTTGAAAGGATGTAATTAGAACTGCATTTCTTAATTTCTTTTATTGGCTATGTCACTGATTCATTCTGCGACCGTATTAACAATTCTTCAGCTGGCTTAAAACTTGTTTGTTTTTTTTAAATTTTTTTTTAACATAAATTAGTTGTCAAGGCAGGACCCATTTGTGAAAGGGTTGCGTTTAGGGTGACAAAAAAGTGTTTTGAAATTCAAAATGTATTTTCTAATTAAAAAGAGGTATAATTCCAATAATCTTAAGAAAAAAAATATTTAGGAGATCATTTAGCCCAACCTCTTTATTTTACAGGTGAGGAAACTGAGATATAAGGAGGTTAAGTAACATGCCTCAGGTCATATAAATAGTTAAGTATCATTGGAATCCAGGTCCTAGGACTATAGGGCTAGTAATTAATTAATTAATCAACACTTGATGGGATTACAAGGCATAGACCTTTGTCAGAAGGTGGCACTTCCTGTGAAGCTAGATACTGTACACTATTTAGTTCCTTGCTGAGGGTCATAGCTGGGCTGCTTCCTGATGACTGGCAATTGGCAGGGCAGACTTTTGTTTGAAGAACCTCCCTCTCCCTCACCTAGTTCTCTATAAGAATAAGCTATGGAAATGACTTCACTCATTTTGAGACTCTTTCCTCTGATGGGTTCCTCCCTTCAGTTTCCCAGTATTAAGAATGGCTTACAGCAGAAATAGATGGCAGTGAAACACCTGTGCTTGCCTAAGTGAACCCCAAACTAGAGGATCTTGTACTACTTCCAAGCTTTTCTGCCTTTCTGTAGCCTTCTCTTGGCAGAGAATAATCAGTGACTAATGATCCTGAGAAACTGACATTTCCAGCTTTCTGGGTTCCTTCATATACATCCCTGACTTTGCCATCTCCTTAATTCCAGAGCTCAACACCTGCTTTACAGAGGAAGAAATTTTGTTCAATAGCACACTTTCTGGAGAGGACTACCATGAGGGTCATCCTGGAGCTGGAAAACAAAAAAACATTTCATGAGGAGTCAGGAAATCTGGACTTTGCCAAACTTCCACGACAATTGCTGCAAGTTGCTTGGACAGTATAAGTCTAAGGTAAATTCAAAATGTCTGTTCAGCAGTCCAACAAAGGATCTAGATGAAATATAATAATAGGATATACAAGTATTTTATTTTTCTTGTATTTGTATGTACATGCCTGTGAATTCTTTGTGTTTTCTATGGTGAAAAACATGATACCCATATTGTACATTACATTTGTGAGAGGAAACCCCATACTTTTGAGATCGTAGACATGAGCTATGCCTAAACTTTATTTTAGAGATTGTTTTGGGGGAGTATTCCAGGTGGGAACATTAATAAACCAAACAGAAAACTTGGCCCTTTTGGAGTCAGGCCTCCAGGATGAATCTGGAGTCCATTCATAGATGTGGAGTCAAGAAAATTTGCCAGGAATCTAGGCTCAGAAACCTACTGGTGAGGTGACTTTGGGCAAATTGTGAAACAATTTGCCAATGATCAGTTTCCCTATCTGTGTAACCAACAGGTGTGGTTGCTGGGGACACTTAACTGTGTACTTCTCATTCTCCCTCTTAACCATCAAGGAGAGAGGGATAGAATTCTTGGAAACCACACTTCCACCTACTATGGCCAAGAGGAAAAAGACCTTCCCTCCTAGACACCGTCTTTCTCCTCCTTCCCTATGTCCTCTTCCTGAAGCCTAGGGTGGTACACAATTGTATAGCCCCAGGCCAGGATCAGCAATTATAATGGAAATATACTCATTCCTTCAAAGGAAACGAAGTAGCAATGATTAAATTCTCATTTATCATTTAAAAACTATATGGTTCTTAGCATCTTCAGCCTCCTTCCCCCCCACCCCCCTCCCCACTCTCCCTATTTAGTAATGTAGCAAGAGTGAGAAGATCTCCAGTGAATTGAAGGGACTTACAGAGAACATGGACAAGTATTGGCCAAGCTGACAGAGAGAACCTTTGAAAGGTATGCCCACATTGGTTAACACATAGCTACATTGAAGATGCACTCACCTCACAGGGCTCTTCAGGTAGCATTATA